ATTCCTGTTTGTATGTTTGTATGTGGCTCTGAATGTCTGTGTGTCTGCATGACTATGTATCTATGACTGGGAGTGCACGCTGTGTGCGAAAGTGTGTATATAAGTTGGTGCCTTTGGGATATGTGTTTCTGCGTGTGTTTGATGTGCACACATCTGTGTACCTGCTTCTGTAAATGTGTGTGTGAATGATTAAATATGTATGGGAGAGAGGGGAAGAAAACAGTGGGCCCAGGTGCCACTCTCTGTGCTGTTTAGCTGTGGCCCTGTCCCAAATGTGAAGGCAGTTGCTTTTAGAGGCCCGGTGGGCTACTTTCCATTTCCTGAGTTCTGTCTGTCTATCCACAGGCGTGCTGCTGGATGTACAGAATTTTTTTCAGATCAGTGACAGCAATGCTGGTTTGCTTCAGACAGGTAAGGGGCAAGTCCTGGCTCTGGGACTGGAGCCCTGGGCTCATGTGGGTTGGGTCCTGTACTGTGACCAGCTTTAGCTGCTGGGAATTGGAGGCCAGCAAGCTGAGCCCCACTAAGTCCCCTGGCAGAAGAAGGGGCACTGAGGTTGGTGGCAGTGGCTATGAGGGACAGACTGGGTAGGAGGAAGAGATGGTATAGGCTGAAATTTATGCTTGAACAGTCCTTTTGGGGTTGAGAGTGGGTGCTGCAGAAAGAACAGAGGGAGCTGGGGTTGGAAAGGGCCCCTGAATGTGAAGCTGGTCACTCGCCCTTTCACGTTTGTACAAATTAGCTTGGTATTGGAGAATGGATGCCTGCTTTCCTCTCATGGACCTGAAAAATCTGACTACCAGGATCTAGACAGGCAGGCAGACAGACAGACAGACAGAGACATCTGTCCCCTAACCTGTGTTCAGCTAGGGTCTGGGGCCGCACTGGTCTGCAGTCCAGCAGCAGGGAATAGCCACACATCCCATTACAAGGAGGTCATGAGGTGCTAACTTTTCCTCTGTGGGTGCCTGGATGGTGACACACACACACACACACACACACACACACACACACACACACCCATATGTGTGCACACACTGTCACAACACAGGATATACATGTGTGCATATATCCAGCCAATAACTAGCAAATACATGGTTCCTCCTCTTAAAAATCAACTATTTCAAAACTTTAGAACAAAGCCCTCAAATTGGGGTACAGGGACCTCTGGGGAGACATAAAAACTTTTCAGGGGCTACAGGAGCAGAGCTTTGAGAGAATACATTTATGGATCCTTAAGCCAGTATGTTTCTTTCCTAAAGTGGATCTGAGAGCAAACCTCCAGTTCTCTTCTCTTACTTCCCCTTTAATAATCACCCATCTACCATTTTAAGCAGGAAAGTACACCTCTTCCCCATTCTGAGGTTTACTATGGTGCACTGTCCTAGGGTGTAAAAACCTCAAGGGTGCCAGGCAGAGAGACCCCTTGTGGATGCTTGGCTTCTGCTGGATTGGCCCTTGGAGCAGAGCAGACAGAGTATCAGTGGAAACACACTGGGGATGTTTTTTTCCAGGCTGCAAACCCATGGCAAGGTGCCAAGCCTTATTTAGCTGTCCTGCTGGTGTGTGACAGTCTGCTAGTTATCTACAATTTAGAATTCAGAAATGAGATGGTTGTCTCAGGGATGGATGTCAGCACATTTATTTCAATAAAAAATATAGCCAACATTTTAATGTCTTTCTTAAAGACAACCAGTCTGATTTGGCAAATAAGGACTAGTTTGTTTATTAGACTCTACAGCGGACATTTCCCATAAACTGAAAAAACTTGATCTTCAGCCACAAGGATTTGGATGAAGATATAGTTTAAAAGATTCAACAATACTGGAAATCACATCTTTTGCAACTATTTAAACTTATGATAAAAATGTTTTAAATGTTGGCTGAAAAAGCATGAAGGGGTAGTGCATAGTTCTATAAACTTCTTTAAGAGGCAGGCACCGGGCAAAAGAGTTAGCAGAGTCCTGCTTTAGACCATGAATCTTCCAGTTGCTCCTGTTTCAGAACTGAGGCCGGAAGCTGGGGCTGATCTTCCAGCCATAAACGTAGCCAAAGTGAGACCTTCTTGGCTTGATGCCCACAACCTTCTAGATTAAACAGATAATGGCAATTGAGTTAACATTTCCCCTCCCTGGTTCTTATCATGGTGAATGGGATTATTACGACAAGGCCTTGATAAGTGAGATGCTGTGGAGGAAGAAGTGTGTGTGTGTGTGTGTGTGTGTGTGTGTGTGTGTGTGTGAGGGAGAGAGAGAGAGAGAGAGAGAGAGCGCGCGCGCGCGAGCGAATGCATTCAAACATGTGTATGTGCGAGTGTGAGTGCTATGGGGATGCGTGTGTGAATGTGTGTGTTTGAGAGCGAGTGAAGGGAAGGGTCATCTCGGCAGAAGCAGCCCAAAAAGGTATGTGGAAAGGACAGTGGGGCTGAAAGCCTGATTGCCAGACTTGTCTCCAGTGACCTCAGGTGAGTCTTTTCACCTTTCTTGGTTGCCATACAATGGCCAGAAGACCCACCCTACTGTCTGTCCATAGGGCTGCAGAATAGAGGAAACTGATGACTAAGAGAGAGCTTGGTCAAACTGTTAGAGTTGGGAAAGGATGAGTGAGGAGGAAGTAGTGGTTAGGAACCCTCCTCTTTCCTGCCCCAATGGGACAGAGAGGCTGTTGGAGTTAGTTAATTGACTAATAATATTTAAAATTAACACCAATGTGGTCTTTATCTCGTGCCAGGGATTATTCTAAGTGCTTTATACTATTAACTCATTTAATCTTCACAACGATCCCAAGAGGCAGGTACTATTATTTCAATGCCCATTTTACGGATGCTGAACCTGAGGCATAGGGTGACTACAGGGCTTGCTGAAAGTCACACAGTTGGTGAGTGACAGCTAAAGTTCAAATCCAGGCAGCTGACAGTAGAGCCCTTCTCTTAGCCTCTGCTTCTTCAATACTCCCACCTTGTCACAGAAAAGATTTGAATTTGGAGATGCTAGGGAGGAAGGAAGGAGTGCCTGCCTTCCCCTGGGGGGCAGATGTCTCCGTCTGAGGGCATCTACAGGTTTAAGGTGTTTATGTCCTTTAAAGCAGGGTTCCCCAACCTCCAGGCCTTGGATGGTCAAAAAGGTTGGGAACCGCTGCTGTAAAGGATCCCTGTCCCAAATCTAATACAAGTATTAGAAGGTTTGGGGAAATATTTTTATAATCTTCGAGTAAAGAAAGGTATGTATTAAGATCATGAAACAAACCCCTAGAAGATTATAAATTTGACTACCTTAAGGATAAATGTTTCCATATGATGGTGATTAATACTGTAAATGCAATTAGTAATAATAATAGGTTAATATTTATTAGGTATTTACATAAAACCAGTCACTGCCTTTTATATGCTTTATTTCATTTAATCTTATGAGGCAAGCCCTGTTACTATTTATTTCATTGTATAGTTAAGGAAGGAGAACAGGAGAATTAAGGAATTTGCCGCAGGTCATGCAGCTAGGAAGCAGGTGGGTCAGGATGTGAGCCGCTGTAGTTTAGTCTCAAACTTGCATTTTAAATCCTTAAAACAAATATAAAGGACTGGGAGAAATTATTTCCAAATAACAAAAAGCCCAGTAGAAAAATGGGCAGAGGATGCTCAGCTTCACTGGGAATAGGACAATACAGATTAAAACATCAGCAAGAAGCCATTTGTTTTTAAACTATTAGATGAATAAAAATAAAGTGATTCAGCCTATAAAGTGTCACAAGGGTGCTGGCATATGCTTCTATGCAAGTGTAAATCGATACAGCCTTTTTGGAGGCCATTTTGGCAGTAGCTATTAGAATTATAAATGCCATTGACACCAAAGACTATTCTCTTTGTGGAGGATCAGGTCGAACCATATTAAATTGTAGTTTTTGTAGGTCAAAACTGGCCTAATTTCCGCAATTGCATGTGGCCCAACCCTATACTAGAAGAGTGGGAGGGGTTGGAACCTGAGCTGGGACGAATCTGGACGCTCACTGGGTTCAGAAAACGTCAATCATCTTTGCGCAATGAATGGAGACCCAGGCGGTGGGCGGGACCCCTGAAGCCCTGGAGCCTGAAGTCCTGGCTGGTGGGACCGAACATGGAGAGTCCAGATCATCCCTTACCCACCCGCAGACTCTCGGAGGCAGCGGACACATCCACCTGGGTTGGAGGCGATTTATTTAAGGAACAGAAGCAGTGATGGTACTTATCCATGTGGAAAGTCGTGCAAAAACGTGTCGGTTTCTTTGTCTTCACAGAATAACAAACGTATTCATTAATTCAGTCGCTAATTCCTAAGGGCTTACTGAAAAAAATGATATAAATACAACTGTCAGGGGGAATGTTTTACCTACTTAGGAAAAACAACACCTTTCTGGCTTCCAGGAATCACTGTGCTCATTTTAAACCGCGCTTATCTGCTCAAAGCGGGCCTAGGCAGATATCCCACCTCTCCTGCCATCAGCGGGGGTGTGCCAGCAAATCAGACCAATCCCAGCATCAGGCTCAGAGAGGGCAGGTGTCTTTGTAAAGATAGGGCACTGGTGTGTGCTGAACACTGGCAGCTCTATGCCAGTGTTCATTTCTATCTCACCTCTACACAGCCTGGGGGTGGGGGTGGTGGTGGTGGTGGTGGTGGTGGTGGTGGTGGTGGTGCGGTGTTGACTTCTCTAATGCTGGAGTGATGCTCAGAGAGTTGGAGTTAGTAACCTAAGGCAGCCCAGTGAGCAAGTAGCAGAGCTGGGATTGAGCTGGGGCCTACCTACCTGACTCTGGGCAAATGGGTTACGTGCTAAGAGGAGACTGGGGGTTTACCCACCTTTGCCTCCTCTTGGCCTTGACCCA